TAAAAAACGAAACTGGTCCCCTTCGGCCGCTCAGCTGTAAGTTTCACTCTCCAATCAATGGGGGAGGCCAATGAGGAGTTGTGTCCAGATGTTCTGGCTAATGCCAGCTCTATTTTCTTTGAGTGATAGTGCATGTAATAGTGCATCCAACAGGTTCTTCTTCTCCTAGACAAATCCTCTCTGCTGGCTGATTTTCCAATTAACTCGACTCAACATCAATTGGTTGGGGGGACGCCTTCGGTGCGGTGGCTGCAGCTGCGCCGCTGGTGCTGCCAACTGCTGCATTGATTTGTCAAATTGACAGCAATAAATCCATCATAACCAGTTACCACTGACAGTTAATCATAAGCACCGCTGACAGGTGGGTCCAGGCTAGGCCCGGCCCCCAGTCCCAGTCCCAGTGCCAGTGCCAGTGCCGGCTTTAGCTTTGCGTAATGTATGCGAGCTGCCAATCCAGTCGATTGTCTTGATGTATGCGCACATTGACCAAGTTGGCATCGACTATGGGCACGGCCCAGACCCCAGCCACGGATTGGGCCGTGCAAAAAGTTGCACCAAATTAATTAAGCCCCATAGCCAGCTGTAGTAGCCACCCACTCAACCACCCGACGGCGACGTGGGACGCTGCTAATGCCTAACCTTGTGCCTAACAACTGACACTTTGCTAAATGCCCACCCCCAGGCACGGCCACAGACAGACAGATACGCGAATGATACCGAATACCCATATCTTTGGGTAGATATGCTAAATAGGGGTATCGTTTGAGCCCCTTCCATCGTACCCTGGGGGCACTAAATAAATTTATTTAAATGCATTAATTTTTATTTATAGCCTGGGTTTAAGTCGTTGCAATTGAAGTGATCTGCATGGTGCCTGCATGGGAAAATCGGTTTCAGTCAGAGTTTGCATAATGACAGTTATTTATCAATGGGCATGCATTCGGCATGGCCAAGGGTGGGTGGGTGGCGGCTGTGTAGCATAATGTTTTCTTGTTTTCGAATTCGCGAATTGAGATCGCCCAGAAATTGGAATGGCTTGCAAGATGTATCCTCGGTAGTTATCCATGGGGATGTAGCTCAGTGGTAGAGCGCTCGCTTTGCATGTGAGAGGCCCCGGGTTCAATCCCCGGCATCTCCAAGTATTCTTTTTTTTTTCTTGATTTTATTTTCTTTTTTCTACAAACGAATGAATCAAGCCATACACATATTTTCTTGATGAGTTCTCAATCTTAATCCAAGCTAATTTCATATTCAGTTAATTAGGCACACACGCCAAAGCAAAATGTGCGCGTGGCCACAAATTCATTCGAATATGGAAATCAAAATCTTCATGTTGCCATTGACAAGTACAAATAAATGGAAATCGTTAAGTCCGACCGGTTATCTTTGGGCTTAAACTAAGCGTTAAGCGTAAGACAAATTCAGTTACTTGCAGTCCGGCTTGTCCGTAGTCCGTAGTCCGGGGACATGGACTTGGGTACTGTACTGCGGACTGTACTGCGCATTCATACTCCATGCGTAATTAGCTGCGGCATCGTTCATTTATCATCAAAATGTGGCGGCCATAAACAAATGCAGCTCACTCCGCCACTGGCGCCATTCGCCATTCGCTATTTTTATTTCGCTTATTTCGCTTATTTCTCATTTCATTAGGCATTAGAGATATTCCACAGACGGCAGGCAGCAGCAGCAGCGCAGCAGGTGAAGATGTTTACCCAGTTACCCAGTATTCGGATTCAGATTTGAGGTTGCGCAAAGTGTCCGACAGAAATCAATAAAGTATCTCTTGGAGCCAGGGGCTTGTGCAAGCCCCGCGGTCGCCGATGTCATTGGATCTGACAGCAGTGCATAATGATGTTATTCAATTGCGCATGGACATGGGCATGGAGTAGGGGGCTACTCCGAAGCTGGAGCGCTGTGTGGGTGGATGTCGAAGAACATCATTTGTACATTGTACCTTTGGCAGTCTGAGGGGGGGATCACCGCACTTGCCTTCTTAAATATGATAATTTCAATGCTGACTTCTATATTAAGTGTTCGTGCTGGTCGCGTTTCGTATGCCACATGCCATTTCAAGCCAGCACAGAGTTAGGCCCCGCCCTCTCGCCAAGACCGAGCCAGTGCCGGTGCCCGGCCCGGCCCGGTCCGGACCAGCCGCCCCTTGGAGCCGAACGATGTGTGCATAAATCTTGCACGCATATTTAAGTTGATGATGTTAAATGGCATGGCTGTACTAAAAATACGAAATATGCATGCCGTATGCAGGCACCAGTTTCATCCTGTCGCTCCCTCTCTGTGTGTGTGTGTGTGAGTGTGTGTGTTGGAGAATGTGCCGCAGCCACACACTGCTGCAACAACATGGCGACATTCATAAACTAAAACCGAACTAAAGAGACTCCTCGAGGGGCAAGGGCAACCAGCAACAGCAATGGCAACGGCAACGGCAACGTCCACGGCCTGGGGGTTTTGGCCTGAGTTTCGAGCTTCGGGCTTTGGGCTGGACAAAAAACGAGCGAGCGGCCAACAAAACGTTCTGCCCAAAAAGAAAGACAGAGACATACCGACCGTCTGATACACTTCGATACAAACCATTTTGGAAATCTGGTAGCAGATTAAATGGGAAATGCAATGGGCATTTTCTTGGTCATTTTCAGTTGCCATATCAAACCAAAACCCAACCAGCTAAAGTACTTTGAGTAAGGGCAGCGCAACGTTTGGATTTTCTCAGTCACCTTAAAGGTTTTTTTTCTTCAATTTTTTTATTATTATTTCTTGGCATGTTTTCTTTTTGCTTAACGGCGGCAGATTTGAAAAGAATTTCTGCTCGCAAATGAAATTGTTTCCTGTTAAAAGCTAAAAAAAAAACGATGAAAGAAAACCAACTATGCAGAAAGGGAATAGTGGTGGAGGAGGAGAAGGAGGAGAGGAGTGGGTATGGAACATGGATATGGACGGCACCTGCTGTCGCAACGATTGATGAAATTAAAAGGTATGAGTATAAATAACAATCTTTTTAATGGTCTGGGATTTGGAACTTAATTTTTTAATTAAACAAGCCACAGAGGCCAGCCAAAGCGACATCGACGGAGAGACAGACAGACAGAGCGGCAGGCAGAGTTGCAGCCACCAGCAGGCTACTCTGGCAGCAAGGGGGCAGGTGGCAAGGGGGAGAATTGGTGTCCGAGACATTTATGCAAAGCAGAAGCCACTTGGCCACTTGTGTGGTCTGTCCACGGTCTGCTGCCACCGCCAAGGAGCAGGCCCCATAATAACTGTGTTTGCCTTGTGGCCTGGCCAACACTTTTACTGCCGCCACAAGGAGGTCTAGGCGGAGGAGGCCTAGACCCGGTGCCGCACGATAACATGTTAATCCCTGGCTCCCTCGACTACAAGTCCGGCAACGATGTCAAATGTCAGCACATGTGATTTGTCATCGGGCAGGGAGGAAGGAGCCGCCCTGTATGCCGGCAGGAGGAGGATCGAGGACTGCGTCGGTGGGTGGTCGGTGGTCGGCGGTCGACTCCTTCATATTGTCGCCTGGATAAACATTTGTCACTGGGGACGGAGACCACCTAACTTGTGTTTGTAGCTGTCATTTACAAGACAGTGCGACAAGGCCAGGAATGTGGCATTGAGATTCTGTGGAAGGAAGCACAGCCTAAAAGGAGCCCTTCTAGGGGGCCAGATATACTCCAATCAATCCCCATTTTATTTCCATTAAAAATACAATAAGTATCATTGAATTTATATATATTTTTTATTTATACCATTTCTCTGCACACATTTGTAAACCAACAAATGGAAATAACTTAGAAGTTTTGGGGAAATAAATCGAAGAAAACTGAGTAGAACTTATACAAAATGAAAAATATATTGAATACATATATTGTTTTCGATTTTTATTCAATTATTAGTGTTTCGTTACTCGTTTTAATACAAAGAAATGCAATTAAATAGTCGTTTATATATTCATATATATGTATATATATATATAGGTATAAGAGATAGTAAGTAAGATACGGAGATACATAGAGAGAGGATATAGGGAGAGCGAGCGTTGTTCAAATAGAGAGAGAGAGAGAGAGACTGAGAGAGAGTGTGTTATACATGGGTGAAACGATCGTTTGCTTTTATACATAAATAATTACATTTAATGCTCGGCTTAGGAATAAAACATATTACAATTTACAATGGTAGCAATGTTAACTTAGGCGTATGATTAATCAATTAATTAAAATTAATTCGTAGAAAGAAAAGTGCAAATGAATTTACAAATGACAAATGACAACCGGATCGATCCCATCCGATCCGATCCGATCCAATCCGATCGTAGGTTTGAATAAATAGTTTCTGCTTTTGGTGGAGTTAGATGCAGCAGCCATCGATAACAGAATAATTTTGTTATATTACAGCAACGCGCATGTGTGTAAGTACAGTAGTTCGATCCGAGTTCTGAATTGAGTGCCGCCGCCTCAATGCCTAGTTAAGTTAGTGATTAATCGCTCAATCGTTAAATGGGTTTCTTGTCTTAAGTACACACTAATTAAATTTTCACCTAAGCAGTTTTGCTTTAACTTCTTCTTTTTTGTTTTGTTTTTTGTTTTTGTTTGTTGTTTGGGGGCTTCCTCCTCCTTTTTACATTCATATATATCGCTACATACGAGCATAAACTTGATGCTTCAGTGTTTTTTGTTTTTTGTTTTGTTGTTGTTGGGTTTTACTTGACTCTTTTCCTCAAATTTGTTTAATTTCGCATATTTGGTTTGCTAATTTGTTTGAACTATTTACTTTAAATATTAATATAAATATATGAGAAACAATTTTCGCTCATCATTCTTCTTCATTTTCATATATAAAGCATTATACATACATATATGTATATGTGCATGTGCTTCGTGTTTGTATATGTATATGTATATATATATATTTTATATATATCCGTATGTAGAAAAGCAGCTGTTTTGTTGGTTTTGTTTGTGTGTTTTGTTCTTTTTTGCTCTGTTTTGTTGCTATTTTGATTCGATTTGCTTAGCTTTAGTTTTTAGTTTTAGTTTCATATTCAATTAATAAATATAACGTGGCTTATTCAGTGTGAGTTTTGGTGTTTTTTCTGTCGCAGTACGAAGCACTCGTGCATGCGTTAATAGTTCATTAAAATGTTCCATTGATCTAGGTTTTCTTCTCCTACTCATCCCCTCGCTCACATTACATACGAGTATGTGTGTATGTATGTATGTATTGTATTATTCCCCTCTAAAATCGATTTGACAGGCTGACAATTTCAACAAGTTTCTGCAACTGCATTTATTTAAAAAAATTCGGTTTAATCTGAATGGAGCTCTTCGCCACGTTCTGTTCAATTTCGTTTCGCCGCTGGGTGCCGGTGCCTAGTAAAATTGTTTAATATTGATTTTCTATTGATTTCTAAACATTCTTTTTTCGTTTTTGTTTTCGTTTTTATTTTGCTTTACTTTTTGGAAGTGTTTTGCTGTGCGACATTGTTATCGTTATCGTCATTGACTCTTAGTTTCTGCTTGCGTATGAATTTAAAAAACGTCTTCATGGGTTTTTTTTCGGTTTCGTTCAATTTCTTTTCTAATTGCAATTAGTTTTCGTTCATTATAAAATTTTGAAAATATATGCATATATGTATGTATTAATATATATATATATATATATATTGTTTAGCATTTGCTGTTGTTAATTCTCATTGCTAATAAACTTAATTGGTTTGCTTTCAGTGCTTCCAAACAAGCAAATGCACATTGATTCTTCATTTTGGTTTTTTTATTTTCCATACCAACAGTTTGTTTTAGCAGTTAATTATCAAACATCAATCATCGATTATTGCTATCGCTATCGTTATTGCTATCATTATCGCTTTTCTCATCGTTTCTTTTCTTTTCTTTTCATTTATTTTCGTTTCGTTTCGTTAGCTTATATAGCACATACTCGTAAATAAAAATCTTATTGTCTTTTCATTTATAACTATGTAGCAGTTCTGCGAGTTCTTTCCATTCGGCCCCCCGTCTACCGCCCACTTCACTGTACTCTCCATTTGATGATACATATATGGCCTGAGTTATGGTTATCTGGTTTCCGTTTCCGTTTCCGTTCCCGTTTCCGCATCCACATCCGCTCCTGTAGTGTGCTTTAAGGCGTGCAAGTGCAAACTTCTGTCTGAGCTGAGCTGAGCTGAGGTACTGAACAGTAAGCAACTCCATATAGGTACTACCCATACATATATACGAGTATCGATCGCTGTATATATGTACATATATGTATCAGTTCATTATAAATTGGATATATTTATCCATAATTCTGTTTTATTTTCGTGCCTAAATTCATTTGAAAACTGTTCTGAGTATAGTTATACAATACAATATATCGGTATATCGTCTGGTATTGGTACTACGCAAACCTCCGCTGACTGTGAAGCTGCAGCCGCCGGCGCTCGTTATTGATCTTGATCTTGGCGATCCGTATCGACTCGGGCAGCACGGATGTGGGCGAGGTGGCCAGATACCCGCTGACGAAGGTGAGGCGACTGTTGCTGGTGGAGCCGTTGCCATTGCCGCTGTCGCTGACGTCCAGTTCCCCCTCGAACAGATCGGGATAGACGCTGATATTGTCCAGGTTATCGATGTCAATGTCGCCCGCCTCATTGCGCACGTAGGTCAGCTGGTGGTAGGGCGTGGCCATCAGCTTCTGTGTGGACTTGCGTAGAGATTTCTTGGTGGTGGTGCTGGTAGCCGCCGTGATGGTGCTCCTTGTGTCGACTGTCGGCGAGGCTTCGGTGAGGGTGTTGTTCAGGTTGCTGTTAATGTTCTTGTACACGCTGAATATCTTGTCGATGAGCCCATGCTGCTGAGGCGTCGTTGCCATGCTCTCCACAGTGGATGTGGATGTGGATGCTGCCGCCGCGTTGGAGAGCCTCCATCTGGGCGTTGTTGCCGAAGGTACTCGCGTGCTGCCTGTGGGCGGCTGCAGTGGCAGCAGTAGCTTGTGCTGCTGTTGCAACTTATTGTCGCCCTGCAGCCACTGCCTGCTGTTCTCCATGCTGCCACTGCCACTGCCACCGCCACGATGTCTGCTCAGTTTATGCGTGCTTGGTGCAAGATCAGTCTGACTGCGACTGGCGAGAGTGGTGGCTGGCGTTGTGGCAGACGACGCTGCTCTGGCGGCTGCTGTGCTGCTCCTGGCCATCTCTTGCTGCAGCGGCGTCTGCTCTATCACCAGCTGGGAGCCAGCTGTCGAGGTAGTTGTGGCCGCCGTCGCCGCTGCTATTGCTGCTGATGTTCCTTTGGTTTCGTAGTCCGTGGTGGACACTGGCTCCGCGTCTTCAACCAGCTCTGCCTCGTACTGCAGCAGCAGTTCGGTGTCATTGCCACTCATCTCTGTTGTGGTGGTGCCCGAGGAGGCCTCGCTCTCCAGCTCCGTGATGAATGTGGACCAGGCATCGTAGTTACTGCTGCTGCTGCTGCTAATACTGTCGTCTGATGTTGCCGTTGTGCTGCTGCTGCTGCTGCTGCCACTGACACCCGCAACATCTGGCGTAAAGCTATCAATGGTGGACCAAGTGGACCAGGGCTCCAAGGAGGTGATGCTACTGCTGCTGACATTGTAGGGATCCTCGTAGCCCATGCTGCTGCTGCTGCTGCTGCTGCTGCTGCTATAGAGGGAGTCGTCGGTTGATGTTGATATTGATGTTGCAGCCGTGACTTGCGGCGGCTTGGCCTTTGGCTTGTGGCCCTTTCTTCGTCTTCCCTTGCGCTTGATGGACAGTGTGGCTGTTGACCATTTGGTTGTTGCAGTGGTGGATGTGGATGTTGCTGCTGTGGTGGCAGCCACCGCTGTGGCTGCTGCAGTCATTCGTTTCGTTGGACTAGCTGTGACTCGTTGCTGCAACTGCTCCTTGCGTCGCCGCTTCTGCTTCTTGTCGTGCTGCTGCCTCCTGGCGAGCAGCGAAGGATCATTGTGATGGTGCCGCACCTGATGTTGCTGCTGCTGCTGTTGCTGCTGTTGCTTCTGCTGCTTCTGTCGATTTAATGCTAATTGCTTTTTGTTAGTGCTACTTAGACTATTACTACTATTGTTAATAATAATGTTACTGTTATTATTATTATTATTATGGCCATGATGCTCCTGTTGCGGCTGCAACTTTTGATTTTGGTTATTCGATTTGTGGCGATTGTTTTTGTTGCTGCGCGACGGCGACGGCAACGGCTTCCGGCCATTGCCACTGCCATTGCCATTGCCATTGCCATTACCATTGCCATTTCCATTGCTGGCTATCATCTGACTGGCGGCCATCTCGTGCCATTTTGGTAACGTGTGCTGATGGAAAAACTGCTCGGCATCGATCTTGTTGAACATGTAGCAGGCATCGTTGACGATCTTCTTTGGCCCCACGGGCTTACCTCGGTGCGTGAACCCGACACGGCGCTGCAGGTCGACAACGGACCGGAACACGAAATAACCGTGCACGATCGTCTCGTTGAAGTAGCAGGTATCGCGCAGTTCCCTCTGCAACAAAAGAGAAAGAACAGAGAGATGTACGGTTAACGAGAGAGTGAAATCAACTTCCGCACTCTTCAGATGCAATTTATGAGCAGCGTTTCCGTTCATAAGGCGAAGCCACACAACACACACACACACACACACACACACACACACACACACACACACCATTGATATGAGGAGCATCGACAGCAATGATGACAGCGACATCATCGATCGGTTAGGTTGGGTGTTTTGGGGGAGGTGGGGAGTAGGGAGTGGGGATTCAGCGGTTCATTTTGCTTTCTGTTTATTTATAAAACACTTGAGATCTCAAAACGACAACCAAATGAAACGCGGCTTTCGACTTGGATGTTTGCATACCCTGCAGAGTTCAAAATGCAGCCTGGGCATATTCATTTGAGTCTAAGGAACTAATTGCCATTAAATATGATGGAAACTCAATACCTCCATATCTTATCCAAGCCCAGCATTAGCTGCATCTTTCTTGCAGTACTCTTCCATGGCTAAATGCTTTTACATATATCATTTCAGAACAGTACCCATTCCAGGGTATGCCGCGAGCGACTACCTCCACACACAGCCTCCCCATCGATGTTTGGGCGAACGCGTGTGTTGACCAGAAACGATTCTGGGCCAGAGCCAGTGGCAGTGCCACTATCAGCCGTCCGATCTGATCCAGCGTTTCGATTGTGGCACAATGTGTTGCAAACGACGCAGATGGCAGCGATTCCCAAGCAATTAAGGCTTGTGCCATATTTAGCCTCTGTTTACACTCGGAATATTTATGGCATTTAATTGCTATTTTTGAGTAGCTTCGCACCATCTCGAGTCGCCTCGAGTCGAGTGATCTAGAGCCGAGAATAGTCTGTGGAGTGGAGTGTGTTGGGTAAACACGTTTGTTCTATTTCGAGAAGGGATCGAATCGAGTAATCAATCGGTGAGTCAGGTGCGTGGCAACCTTAGCCCAATGGTGTGGGCCACACAATAACCTTGCCAGCGAATTCCTCGTAAGACTCTAATACGAGTATATAGAATATAATATGTGTGCTTAAATCGCGGCAAGTATTTGCACAATAACTCAGCATGGATTTGCGGTCATAATCGAAAGCATTGCCAATAGCAATAGCAATCGTAATACATGTGAATCGCAATCGAATGACAAGTGCTGGTTTTGACCTTAGGGGTTCTATTCCATTGTTTGTCCAGAGCTCGAGTGCGGTTAACAGCTCAAAGCTAACTGTACAGCAGCGAGTGGGAAAGGACATTGAAATGTTTTCGCATGTTTACAACATGGGGCACAGTGTCGCAAGTGCCGCGTCATCTGACTGATTGATTAGACATATCTATCGAAACCAGCAATCCAGCAATCCAGCAATCTACTCGGACAATATCAATCTGTCATTCATGACTGTTTGTTTGTTTGTTTGCCTAGTCAATGATTTTTATGAGTGCCGTGCCACACTCCAGCGCCAGCGCCAGCGCCAGCGCTGATCGCCGCTTGAGTCTGGCGGCATTGAAATGATGGCAGGGAAAAGTGTTACAATGTCTCGAATAAAAATATGATTTGATTTTAATTTTCGCATTTACTCCCGAATCTCAGTTGCAGTTGCAGTTGCAGTTTGGGGCTGCATGGGGTGACACGCACGCAACGAACCCCCCAGCTGGGTGGCCCAGTACCGAATACCGAATACCGAATATCACGCATACGCCGCCGCGTTCCACAGCCAAATCTGTGCCAAATTGTGCCCCGTAATTGCATATGAAATTGTTCATATTTTGAAATTACAAAAATATTGTAATAAATATTTTGTTTACACTGCTGACAGAATTGGTGCAGCAGCAGCAGCAGCAGCAGCAGCAGCAGGCAGCAACAGGTTTACGAGTGTATCCATTGTGAGCGCAAGTCTCTCGGACAAATTTGAACAGTGATCTTAGCTCGGACTTGGACTCGGACCCGATCTCTCTATGTATGGCTTATATGTATATAATATGTGTATGCAATTTGGCTAAATCGCGCCAGAGCATTGTTATTGTCGTCTATGTGATCGTTTGCATAAAACCATTATGTGGAACATGTCATAAATTATAGTGTTTGTACAGTTAGTTTGCATAAAAACAGACTACAGACTACGGACTAACAGCGGCTGCGATGCAATCAAAATAGTTGCAACGGGCCTTGGCTATAGCTCTCCACGGGGCCCATATAGAGACAGAACAAATATTGTTCAGCATGTGATTATGGCCATTGCGAGCAATTTGCTTGCACAAGAGCCCTAACCCCAACCCCCCGGAATCACCATAAAGATTATCCTATCTTTGAATTCGCTTTCATCTTGGCGCTCTCTATCTGTTATCATTCACGGGGGATGTACCCCCAGTATCCAGTGTCTGCTGGGGCTGTGTGAGTCATCTGAAAAGGGGACTGTGGTTGCCTACTTTCAGGGCATATCAACCGATCATTCGATTGATCAACATGTTTGCTTGGTATGGGTATGGCAGTATGGGTATGGTTATGGGATGGAGGTGGAGGTGGACGGGGTCTCTGAAGGTTAATCTACTCACCATGCCAACTAATCTCCAATTGTCGTTGAAACACAAATATCTTTGGGTTTCTTTTGCGTACAGTGCTATTTTGAATTCGTTGTTCACATAATCCAGGAGGCCGACTATCGTTATATTTTCTGTAAAAAACCAAAGAAAACAAGAAACGAATTAAGATTTCCATTAGTTGATCAGCGCAGCTTAGCGATGTAAATATTTGGCTGGCAAAAACATTTTTAATTAAAGGCAAACAACAGTGATTAGGCATGCCAAAATGTAAGGTGTAAGCTACCACGTGTCAGTGCAATTAAATTGCCCCTCTTTTTCGGGGGCACAGCAGAAGAGATTTCAAAACTGATTCTTCAACTGATTTCCAGAAAGAAATTTCCCAAAATAGGAAGAAAATGCATTAAATGTCAGAAACTCAAGTAGCGCCAAGGTGCGCTCTCTCTCTCTCTCTCTCTCTCTCTCTCTGTCTCCGCTAATTATAAACTACTAACAATGTAAATGCAGTTGTATCTCCATCTGGGCATCTACCCATACCCATACCCATACCCAATATGAGTGTAGTGTAGTGTATCGTATCTACTGCTTGGCTTGGCCTCGTCAGGCTATTGAACTTCAGGGCAGTGTAGAGGGAGGCAGCGGGTGGCAGAGGCAGAGGCAGAGGCAGGGCTGGGCAGGGCAGGGGGGCAGGGCAGGGCGACAGTGAGAGCCGGCCACAAAAGTCACTAATAAGTAAAGCACTTGAAAAGCCAGAGAAAAAGGCAACATGAAGAGAAAAGCCACTCGAGTTAGATTGATAGGTGACTCTGGGTTCAGACCAGAGTCTCAGTCGTCTCAGTCGTCTCAGTCATCGTCATCGTCGTCTGCCGTCTGACTTCCTTCTGCCTTCTGCCAGTAATTAAATTTATGCACAGAAATTCTTGGCAAAACTTGGCTGTACTCTGGGGTCTGTGCATGGGGCATGGGGAATGGGGAATGGGGCATGAATCTGCTGGAAGCTCTCATATTTCATAAGCCCGGGGCGAGTTGAGGGCTTGAGTGACTTTGTGCTTCACACCTTTGGCCATCAGTGGCAGCCACTTGTGGTGCTCCTCGGTCGCAGGCTCCTCCAGGCAGCTCCTTTTGTTGGTATGTACAAGTATTGCCCGTGATTCATGCGCCCGCTGCGACAGCTTATTGATTTCATTAGTTTGGCGACACATGACAGGCGAGTGGTGCATGGAGTGGAGTGTAGCACTCTCTGCAAGTTTGCACTTGTGAGTGCACACTCGATACCCAGCACTAGACCCAGTACCAGTACCCAGTACCATACCAAGCACCAGTCCCAGTTCCATTCCCACTTTTTTCATTCGAGTCTTCTGTTTGTTTATTCCCCTTTTGCCTATGGGAGCAGGAAGTACAGGTCCAATCTAGACGAGCAACGGTACTGCAGTTCCATTTGTGGTCTATGTGGTGCCATTGGATATCATTGAACTTTGATTCGGTTACGCACTCGATTACGCGATTCGCAGCCCCGTCATCACCAATGACTTTGACATTGAAAGTATCAATCGAAGATTCATTCTATTCGAACACTCATTCGTACATTCGGTAGCCTCCTCCCCCGCTCCAAAAATATATATATATACATATGTATCAGGGGGAAAAGCCAAATGTTTATTTTTGTATGCTCAAACAACAACAATCAGATCTAAACATTTGGTTTCGAAAACTTTTCACGACACACTCCACTCAAAAACGGAAAAAGAAGAACAAAAAAAAAAGCCCATCAAATGCATTTCAGTCTTTGGAATTTTTATGGGCTTTGGATCTGTGGCTACATTTTAGAGATCTTCTTCGCTTTTGGGGTTTGTTTTTCACTCAATAAAAAGCTTCGATTGGCTCGGGTCGCGACGCATCGCATTTTTGCCGCAAGTTATTAAGTTATTTTAACAACAAAATCTTAGCTGCTTGGCCCGAGTTTCTAATTAAGTTATTAGTCATGGTGAGTCATGGAATGTTCATATCGTATCGTATCGTATCGTGTCGTGTTCGTATTCATTTTCGTTTCATTTTCGATTCGAATGGGCGTTGAACTGGAAAATGCAACAGCCTGAATAAATATCTGGCGAAACCAAACCAAACCAAACCAAACCGATCGAAGGGCATTCTAAGATGCTATCGATGGTCTCCGATCAGTTTTACGTTTATGGAGGCGTGATTTACATGCCCAATCTCTAGGGCGTAGATAGAATTTCAATGGAGTGGATGGTCTTTGCCTAAATGGAGCAAAGTGGTTCCCTTTTAAGCGTGTATTATGGCATTGATCTATCAAATGAGGGAAAAATAAAAGCATAAATATCGATAGCATCGAGAGTTTCAATAGATAATACAGACTGTTGCAAATTCAATTCAGTTTACCCCCCTCCATATGCACAATACCCCCTGCGAAAGCCCACCAGCTGTGCACAGCTTTGCGTCGGGCCGTAAAAACAACACAGATCTTGTGATATATAATGTCAAAACTTTGGAAATATAACAGCATGGGACAAGCTCATCAGCATGATCAAATGATTCTCGAACACAAAGCAGGGGGAGCACGCATGAGGAAAACACAGCAAACAATAAAAGCAGAAACAACAGCCCCAAAGGCTAATCAAATATGCAAGCAATGAGCTTCATCAACATAAAATTAAAAAATCATAAAATGCTAAACTGCTAAACTGCACAGCATGAACAAAATCCCAAATCCCAATCCAACATACCCAAAAGCTAAAATCAAAACGAATAACCAAATAAAATAAAATAAAATAAAATAAAATACCATCAGATATGTTGACAACGAGTTGTTGGGGCGTCAAAGTGCCGAGCCTCGTAATTGCGGCACATGTACGAAATACCCTCGAAAACAACAGCAACGACACATTTTACGATCCATATGGAGATGGTCAAACAACGTCACAGTCTCACACACGGCTGTGTGCCTGCCTGCCCCCCGCCCCCCGCCCACCAATCACTTTGTCATTCCATCAGCATTTCCCGCACCCCATTCCTGCATCTGTGTTTTGAGTTATGGGGGGTGGGGGACCATAGACCGCAGATCTTCATCTTCATCTTCATCGGAGCCCCATTCGATTGGAATCTCTGCTGTGGTGGGCGTTGCTTTACGAACCGAACTCTTGCGGGCATGTGATAAGCATAAATCTGGGCTTATCGATCTCTAAGATAATCAACAGTCGGGTCGGGTTGGGCCGGTCGTTTCCCCTGTCCCCTGGCATATTTATCGGGCAATAATCATATTTGATTTTACTTTCTAGATTCTACTTTCACTCATTTTTGGGATGGGTTAGCCAGAGGTACATATAAAGTGCTGATCGACTAGTGGGGAGGGAATTCTATGTGGCAAACACATACATACATATATTATCCTTGGACAGAGGGCCTATCCTATGCCGGGCATTGACCTGCTGTCTCTCGTTCCTGGAATGTTGTCTGAGGCAGCGACTGCATTCCCGGAACGGAACCTTTCCGCTGACGATTGCAAAACTCCCTGACGGACACACACTTCCACACTGCGAGGCGTTTTAGATTACGTTTGCATTGTGATGAGGGCCCCCAGTAATTGCTTTTGCATATACTCATGCTCCTACTCGTACTCGTACTCGCACAGCCCAGCCACAATAAACATCTACTCTACTCTACTCTACGATTTGTCACATGCTGCAACTATCGTCATCGCATCGCCATCGCCACCGCCATCGGCTGGCTATCGTACTACAGCACTCATGGGCGTTTTGTCACGTTTCCTGGAAGAAAAACCGTTTTATTTGCTCGGTGCCTGCATTTCGGTACGGTTTGTTTTGTAAGCCGAGAGCCACAGAGCCACAGAGCCGCAGAGAGCCAAAGCAAACGGCGATGCGAAGAAACTGGGCGAAAGGAAAACAAACTTCAACTTGAAGCCAATGTCCCACCGTCCCCCCATCACCCGTGCACCACCCGACTCACTCCATACTCCGTACTGTGGCTCTGTGACCATTTATCAGTTGCAGTTGGGCCTCTGGTTTGGTCTCTTGCAGCGTTTCTTGCCCCAGCAACAGCAACAGCAACAGCACCAACTCCAATTTTAACTGCACCAATGCTAATTGCATGGGCACGCCCAGCCCCCAGGCCCCAGGCCCCAGACCCTGTCCAGTCACACAGACCAACTTCAACTTCAATTCCACTCGAATGCCACAAAATTAGCGCCATTTAATGTGGAGCGTACTCGGGTTTTACGCACGATTCTTCCACTGACGCCACTCATCGCAGTCAGAGTCTATGCGTAGGGGGAGGGGAGAGGAGGACGAGGCCACAGTGTCAATGAGTTAATTAGCGCACGATTTGTCGCCCCCACAATGGCGGGTCAGGCAGCAGCACTTCATATGGGTGTGGATGTGGGTGAGGGTGAGGGTGTGGATGCCACCGACACGTTTGGAGAAAGAAAATCTCTTCTTTTATTGGAGTCATCGTTTTCCCCCATTTCTGGGTCACATGTCGCCTCTCCGCGAGTGCTAGGGCCAGTGTGTGTGTGTGCGTCTTTTATTTGTTTATAATTTATGTTGCTCTGATTGAATTTTGTGGTTCACCAAATCAAGCAAAAGCAATTAAAATTAAAATTAAAATTATAGAAAAATGCTAGATAAACACACAAGAATTTCTGATAAATGTGATTAAAAATAGCCATAAAATGAATGAACTTAAAATGCATTCGCTGTAGCACGAAATTGTTGCTCCACTTTGCATGGGTCCCCAGCACCCCAGCAGCGGCATAAAAAGGTGGCTTAATAAATAATAAATGGCTTCAAAGAACTCAAAAATTCTAAAGATATTTCATAATGGAATAATGGATACACATTCCGAGGGGTGTCTGAGCGGAAAAGATCGCAACTCTATTGAAGAAATCGATATCCAAGCCATGCGATCGATGACTTCATTTTGCAACTCCTCCTGCTGCTTTTGCTGCTGATGCTGTTATCAATATGCCTGAATATGCAAAACATTTATCAATGCAAAAGCCTGCGGGACAATATCGATGACAACAGCAATAATAATCAACCGAAAGGAGCAACAACAAAAAAATGCATCCCAGCCGCCTTTTGTCGTTGATATTGAACTT